GCCCACTAGCCGCCTACGAAGCGCGCCGGTGTGCGTTGGGCTGCCTGCGCGCCAGGGGCACCAACAGTGCCGCCGCCGACGTGCAGCGCCTGTAGGCGAGGGGCCGTCCATGGCCGTCCAACACACGGCAAGGTGGTTAGCCCCCTCTCCCTCCCCCTCTCGATGACTTGCACGGGAATCCTTGCCAGCATCATTAGACTCCGTAACCACAAGGACGGCAGGCAGCACGGCCCAGCGCAGCACGGGGATTGGGCAAATAAGGAAAACATCATCAGTGGGGCTTATAGGCAGCCGGGCTTTGACGTCGCCCAAGGCGGGGCGGGGCGGGGCGGGGCGGGGCGGGGTGGGTCGGGCCTCCGGTTTTTTCTCCCCTTCCCTTATTCCCAGTCAAGATGCAGCCCTCATAAACCAGGCCACGAGGAAATAACGCATCTCCGGGGCCAACCGCCGCGGGGCCTGGCCGCGCCGCCGCCTCGCCTTTTTCGCGCACCGCACCGACGGCCTCCACGGCCTCGACGGCGGCCCCGCCCCGAGCCGAGGTGAGGAGAATGAATGAATTTGAATTGATTGCGGGGCGGGACAATCTGCACGCCAAGAACCAGCAACTCGTGACCCCTACGGCCGCCGCGCCCCGCCGCGCCCCGCCCCGGCATGCTAATGCGAAGGGGGTGCGCGCCGAGACGGACCCGGAGGGGCGCCCCGGAGCCAGGTCTGCCAGCAGCCCGGAGGTTGCCGGAGGTTGCCGGCGGCGCGGCGTGGCAGTGCCGAGCAGTGCGGAGCGGTGCGGAGCAGCCGAGAGGGATGCGGTCAAAATATGCAGATTGGCCAACTGTTTATCAAGTCATTAGAACACTTGGAAACGTTCTGTTTGTGTAAGACGCCCCCGTGTGCGCTGCCAGCGCTGCCAGCTGTGCGCGCCGCCCGGCCGGGTAGGGCAGGGCCACTGGTAGGGCCCACAGGTTGGGCGGAGGCGCGGCCTCGAAAAACACAGTCCCTCTCTCTCCGCGCAAACGCGCGGCTCCATCCGTCGGCCAATAAAATAATTCTTGCCCAAAGTTTTGTCCATCGTGGTCCATGTGCCGATCGGCAGCCGTCCCGTTTCGTGCCCAGGGGCGGATCCAGGGGAAAGAGGCAAAACGTGGACTCTGGAGCTCAAAACGCGTCTAGAGTTTTGGCCGCCCCCCACCGGTCTTCTGGCCCACTGTGATCCACCCCGCACAGACCCCCGCGGGAAATAATAAGGCGGCAACGCGGCATCTTCTTGCTTTTTGGGCCGTGATGCATTTTGACGCTCTGGTTGAGGAAGATCGAATTTGCTTCCGCCCAGGCCTCCCTTCCGTCTAAGTGCCGCAATCTGGGAGCGCTCGCCGAGGAGAGGAGGGGAGGGAGGGAGAAAAAAATACGGCGGGGACGTAGGGGGGAGGGAGAGAGAGAGAGAGAGAGAGAGAGAGAGAGAGAGAGAGAGAGAGAAGGAGGGGGCCGCTGGGGACCCTCCGTAAACAAACATTATATTGGATGAGAGTCTGATACGCTAGCTGGCTGCCCTGGGCCGCCCTGGGCCGCCCTGGGCCCAGACTGCCGATGCTCAAATCTGCCTTCGCCTCTCGAAATACCGATTTCCCCGCCATCATCGCGCCGTCCGTCCCGTCCCGTGGGGCTCCGGGGGCCCCGTGGGGCGCCGTGGGGCGCGCCGCCCGGATTCTTCAAATATTTTGCCACCCCGCCCCGCCCCGCCCCAGTGTCATCGTGAGGCACCCTTCAGAACGGGCTCCCCCCCCCCCGCATCGTATAATTTCATCTTTTACCTCTTCACTGGCGAAGGAAGGCGGAGCGGAGGGCCCTGCTGCCCTGCAGACCGACGGCAAGGGATTCGGGGGTGGGGGTGGTGGAGTCCGGAAGACAACACGAAATAAAAACAACAACTAGAGAACGCTCCCTAATTTCCCTGCCCCGTGAACAACACGCAGCATCGGAATGCCTTTCCTAAGTCCGCGCGAGCGCCTGGCGACGAACGGGTAGGCCACACGCCGCGCGCCTGTGCGTTGGCTTGCCTACCCGATGGTTCGCAGGCGGCGACGGGTAGGCCACACGCCGCGCGCCCGTGCGTTGGGTTGCCTACCCGATGGTTCGCAGGCGGCGACGGGTAGGCCACACGCCGCGCGCCCGTGCGTTGGGTTGCCTACCCGATGGTTCGCAGGCGGCGACGGGTAGGCCACACGCCGCGCGCCCGTGCGTTGGGTTGCCTACCCGATGGTTCGCAGGCGGCGACGGGTAGGCCACACGCCGCGCGCCCGTGCGTTGGGTTGCCTACCCGATGGTTCGCAGGCGGCGACGGGTAGGCCACGCACAGCGCGCCCCTGCGTTGGCTTGCCTACCCGATGGTTCGCAGGCGGCGACGGGTAGGCCACACGCCGCGCGCCCCTGCGTTGGCTTGCCTACCCGATGGTTCGCAGGCGGCGACGGGTAGGCCACAGCACAGCGCGCCCCTGCGTTGGCTTGCCTACCCGATGGTTCGCAGGCGGCGACGGGTAGGCCACGCACAGCGCGCCCGTGCGTTGGCTTGCCTACCCGATGGTTCGCAGGCGGCGACGGGTAGGCCACGCACAGCGCGCCCGTGCGTTGGCTTGCCTACCCGATGGTTCGCAGGCGGCGACGGGTAGGCCACACGCCGCGCGCCCGTGCGTTGGCTTGCCTACCCGATGGTTCGCAGGCGGCGACGGGTAGGCCACACGCGCGGCGCCGTGCGTTGGCTTGCCTACCCGATGGTTCGCAGGCGGCGACGGGTAGGCCACGCACAGCGCGCCCTGTGCGTTGGCTTGCCTACCCGATGGTTCGCAGGCGGCGATCCGGCGCTAGGCCACGACAACAGCGCGCCCGTGCGTTGGCTTGCCTACCCGATGGTTCGCAGGCGGCGACGGGTAGGCCACGCACAGCGCGCCCGTGCGTTGGCTTGCCTACCCGGCGGTCGACAGGCGCTATCCGCGCAGCCAGACAAACGGGCCCTTCAAACAGCCGTCTGATTGGCTGGCGTCGCCGTGCCGGCCGGCCGTGGACCAATCAGCGGCGAGCATCTCGCGCGCACTGCCTCCGTCCGCTCCACCCTGAGCGCCAACGCCAAATTCGCTCCATTATATGGCAGCTCGCCTTCCCTGCATTTCTATCGCCCTGCTCGTCTCACAATGGCAATGCAGATTGAAAGGAGAGCGGCGGCGAAAAAGAAGAGGGAGAAAAAGAAGGAGGAGAAAAGGGAAACCAAGAAGAATATTCCTTCCAATCACTCGATGATCATTAGAAATGGAAAAGAATGTGCGCGGCGGAGACGCGGCGACGCGGCGGAGTGGGGGACACCGCTTCACGCTTCCCCGGCGTCGCCACGCCGCCGCGCCGGCCTCGGTGACGACGTCTCGGAGGACGTCTCGAAGGACGACCTGGAGGGCGCCTTCGACGAGGGGCTCGGAGCGTGTGTCTCGAATCAAAGGGGGCATCATTACTGCGCCAATCGAGGATCGAGACGAGGACCTTCGAGGAAGACGCGACCTCATCGCGCACCGCCACGGCGCGCCACTCGCTCGCGTCGCGTCGCGACCGCGCGGCGCCGTCTCTCGAGGTGCGCTCTAACAAGCAGCCCAATGTGAGACGGCCAAAATACGGCTCGTTAAAAAGATTCCTGCCATTCGTTTTCAAAGTCTGACATCAATTCTACTGTAGCAAGAAGCCCCGACTTGACGATTTCGGCACGCAGTAGCGCTGCTGCGAAGCGATTCTGTGTCTTGCGGCTCCGTCCTTCTCGCACCCCTTCGGGACGAGCCCCGAGTGCGAGAGAGACAGAGCGACGAGGGCACTGTTCGGAACGACGCTGCTGCTGCGCGGAGGCGAGATCGCCGAATCAGCGGCAAGGGCACCATGGGCCGTGGGCCATGAAGGAGGCTGTAAATGCCCGCTGCACTAGAAGGCCTCGGAGGCCCCCGAGGGGCCGGGCCGCTACGCCGCTTCGTTGCTCCGCCGCTTCGGCAGGCCGGGGGCAGGCCGGGGGCAGGCCGGGGGCAGGCCGGGGGCAGGCCGGGGCAGGCGGGGCAGGCCGGGGCAGGCCGGGGCAGGCCGGGGGCAGGCCGGGGGCAGGCCGGGGGCAGGCCGGGGCAGGCCGGGGGCAGGCCGGGGGCAGGCCGGGGCAGGGGGAGGCCGGGGGCAGGCCGGGGGCAGGCCGCCCCCCGTTGCCTCGGTTTATTCCCAGTGATAAATCCCCCACCGACCTGACCCGCCACCTATCTGGCTGCGATTTGCTCGGATTCGCCCCACAAGAAACAGGACCAAGGACGGACACAAGGACAGTCGCTGCACTGCGCTGCGCTGTCAGGACCGTCCTGCGGAGGACGTTCAGTGGTCCGGTAGACCCACGCAGGCGGCCAAAACTCTCAACGAGTTTTGAGCTCCAGAGTCACTAAACAGGACTCAAACCGGCCGTGTGGCCCCAACAGTGGATTCCTCTTTCGGAGGGTGGGGGTGGGGGGGGGTGGGGGGGGGGGGGTAACACGTTCGGCTCTCGTCCCATTTAGCGACTCTGGAGCGCAAAACCCGTCCGGGAGTTGTGACCGCCTCCACCGGTCTTCTGGCCCACTGTGGGACGGCCGGCGAGGACGGTGAGGACGGCGAGGACGCTGTGGCGGACAAAGTTGAGATCAAACAGTTCCTTTGTGCGACAAAGAGGGGCGTACGGCGCGGGGCCAGCCCGGAATACACCGCCCTGGACGACACAAGTCCTAAACAACAAAAGAATCTCCGGCGGGGTGAGGCGGGGCGGGGCGCGGCGCGGCGGGCAACCCCCTCTGTCCGCGCTGCACACGGTCCAGGGAAGAAAAGAGGTATCGCATTCTCTGGCAACGAATGTCGTCTGAACATCCAAGACGCTGTCCATTTTAAATCATTTTTTTGTCAAGGAAAAAAAACCACCAACTACTACAAGAACAAAAAAAAAACTTTGTTGGTTGGAGACTTTTACTTACGGGCATAGTCTGACTGCCATGGAGGGCAGTGATGGCGCAAGCTGCTTCCTGGGACGAGGAGAACTTGACGAAGGCACAACCGGCTGCAACATCAAAACAAGACACCATTAAATCAAAACTAGCGCAGCGGCGGCCGACACTCGCAAAAAAAACAAAAAAAAACAGCATTGCTCCGAAAAAAAAACCACCGAGCGCCACAAAAAACAACAATCAAAGTGACTGAGCCGCCAGGCGGCGGGCAGGCAGGCAGGCGTCAGCGCCATCACTGCTGTCCGGCGGGACTGCCTACGCTGACAGGGCCGACGAGGCAGACAGGGGCTCGGCGCGTCATTCACCACTGTAATGCCAACGCCGTGCTCCCCGGACAGTCATTCCCAAAGTATTCCCCCGGCGGCCCGCCCCGCCCCGCCCCGCCCCTCACCCCGCCCCGCCCGCTGCTGGGCCGAATGATCCGAGACCATAGCAGTTTCAGATTGAGGGCTTGATAACCGACGCGGCGCGCGACCCCGCCCCGCCCCGCCCCACTGCCAACGGCCCGGAGCCCATGGCGCTCAAGATGAGGGCAAAAACAGTCGACGATGCCCATCAATGTCAACACCGACTAGTATTGTTTTGTTCCTTGTTGTCTCATTTTTTCCAACCGAATTATTATTATGATTGTTATTGAAGCTGGACGCGTTTTTCAGAACAACTTGCAGAACTGTTGCTTACGCCTCTCGGTTTTTTTTCCGATGGATAAAGCGCCCGGCCCGCTACTTTCCCTTGCTGACTGCGAACCCGCAGAGGAAGGCCCCTACTTTTTCCCCCCTCGCTCTCACACACACGCACACACGAACACTGCCCGCTTCCCAAACAGTGCGGGCACAGTGTGGACTCGAACAATCCGCACACACGCACACACTCACACACTACTCACTCCATCCCTACGCGCGCACTCCAAAAAAAAAAGAACGGAAAAAGTACGGGAAATAAAATAACGATAAAATAGAAAAAAAGGAGGCAATGCACTCACTCCGACCCACAATAGCGAAACGATTTGCTGGCAGCTCTCTATTTTTATATGGCGAATTCTTCATGATAAGCGGCTGTGCTGGTGTTCGGATGGAGATGTATTGCCCGCCCCCGCCCCGCCCCGCCCTGAGCTCTCTCTTTCAGTATCCCTCTGCTTGGCGCTGCTTCCGTTGACAAAGGAGTTTTCCGCTTCTTATTGAGTCCCATTCATCATTTTCTTGCGACTGTCACGGTGACTTGTAAGTTACGGCCGTTCCCTCGCCTTGCTCGCTTTGCCGGTTTGCCCGGCCGAGTAGTCGTAGGTGCGTTTCATAAATTACGTGTCACCAGTCGGACAGAGATGCGCCCGGAAGCGGAGCCAAAGCCTTCCACGGACAACAACAAAGGGAGGGACCCGGAGGGGGGAAACCAACAACAACAACAACAGCACGCGGTCCACCAGGTCCACGCAGTCGATGCGGTATTTTGAGTTGAGCCGGACTAATTAGCGAACCGAAACGGAAAACAAACTCTGGCGTTGCCGCGGGGAGGAAGGGGGGGGGGGCGGCAGGGAACACTCAATGACTTGGAAAACGGAGTACAGTGGAGTACAGCACACTGTGGAGTGCAATTCGTTTTCGCTCGGCCGCTGCATCTCGACATTAGGGCCCCTCGCGTCGCCGCGCCCCGCGCCCCGCGCCGCGTTGACGAGGAGGGAATGGAACGAAAACACGGCCGACTGCTGCGGTCTCTTTCTCTCTCCCACCCCACATTTTTTTCCTTTTCCCTCTCTCTCTTTTTTGTCCTTTTTGTCGTCAACGTCAACCAGCAGCAGTGCGGAGAGCACGTCAAAAGCCACACGGGCTCTTTATGCAAGAGGGCGCGAGGGTGGAGGGGGAGGGGGGGATTACGGATTGTAGGGAGGGCTGCCAGCCCCGCCAGCCCCGCCGGCCCCGCCGCACGTGCGACTATATATCCATTTGGATCACCGCGAAGCCCTGGCCTGCCTGCTGCCTGCGAGGGGCTCCACGGCTAATGAAAGTGCGTTCGGTAATGTATGGTTGGCTACCATGGGTGCACGGCCGGCAGGGCCAGCGGGGCCGAGGCTCATTGTTCCAGGACTCCCCCACAGCATCCCGTCCGCTAGGCCTTCCCCCTCGCCCCGCCCCCGCGCCGCCCCGCGCGCCACAACCGAACTCGGTCGAACACCAAATTAGAAGGCGTTTTGCCGTGGAGCCGCCCCCGTGGCCCCGTGCGGCGCCCCGCCGGACGCCGTGTAACGGACGGCCCCCGCGACACTCTTTCCGAGCTCGCTCGCTCTCTCGCACCCCTGAGGGGTCTGCGGCGCGGTGCGGCGCGGCCCCGCGAGTGCGAGCGAGACGGAGCGTCTCTTTCCGGCGGTGTACGATTCATTAGCGGGATTACTTTGGTACTCGATAAGACGGCCGACGGCGGGGCGGGGCGGGGCGGGCCTCGGCAGCGCCCCCCAATACAGCCGCCGGCCCTTTGTAGGCCAGTGTGCCTTCCGAGGGCCGAGGGCGGAAGGGCCGGCCCAGGGCCAAGGGCCTCGCGGGGCGGGGCGCGGAGGCTGCAGACGTTTTAGGCCAAACTCAATCACGCCGCTTTTAGCGATAATAAAAAGCCCTCGTCAAATCCCTGCCGAGCCTGGGCCTTCTGGGGAGCGGCAGCCCTGACGGGCAGCCTGTGTGCGTGCGTCCGTGTGTCGGACCAAGGAAGGTGGCTTTCATTGTGTGAGCATCCACTTCCCGCCCCGCCCCGCCGGACGCCTCAAGCGCGGCTCTGGCCGAAAGGCGTCAATGCACGCGTTTAGCGATAATAAAATTTACAGGCGCCGCCTCAACCCTGACCAGCTGGGCGGAGGAGCGGAGGGCGAGCGTGCAGTCTGGGCGGGTGGCGATCACGCGCTGCTCGGCACCAAGGCAACTGGCTTCACATTCGCGGTGAAGCCGCACTTCCCGCCCGCCCCGCCCCGGACGTCCCGCTCAACTGCGCCGCCGCCAGCTGCAGCAAAGGCGCTCACGCAGCGATAAGGCATAGTAATATTACGGGAGGACGCGCGCCTCACCGGACCCAGCAGGAGGAGGACGGGAGGAGGGGAAGCGTGCGTCTGGGAGAGCGGCTGGCCAGGCACCGCGCGACCGGCACCAGGCACTGGCCAGACACGCGGAACGAGCACGGCCGATGGCCGGCCGGCCGGCCGCCCGCCGACGCGTCGCCAGCACGGCCAAGCACGCGCCAGGCAACGCAGGACACGGCCAAGGCAACGGCCAGGCAAGGCAGGCAAACGGCCAGGCAACGGCATTCAGCAGGCGACGCCAGGCACGCGCAACGGCAAGGACCTGGCCAGGCACGGCCAAGCAAACGGCAGGCAACGGCCAGGCAACGGCCAAGGAACGGCCAGGCAACGCAACGGCACGGCCAAGGCACGGCCAAGGCAACGGCCGAGGCAACGGCCAAGGCAACGGCCAAGGCAACGGCCAAGGCAACGGCCAAGGCAACGGCCAAGGCAACGGCCAAGGCAACGGCCAAGGCACGGCCTCGCACAAAGTGTTCCTCAACATGCAGAAATCACATTAGCTGTCGTGCGGCCGTCCGTCCGCCCTGGTCCGGCCTCCCGCTGGTCAGTCGAGAGGAGGGGAAGGGGAGGGGGTCCCTCTCCAACCCCTCAGCCCTCCGGGCCTCTGGCAGGGCCGCCAACGACGGCAGAAGGGTCTTGTGGTGGAGTGGGCTGCGTTTGGCTGGCTGCGGCTGGCTGTGCGTGTCCCGAGTTCGTATGGGTCCGACGAATGGACGCCGAGGGAGGGGGAGGGAGGGAGGGGAGGGGGGGAGGGGTTGGAGGGGAGGGGGGGGCGCGCCGGACGTGGCGAAATGAAAAGAGCAGCAGGCTGGCCGGCCCGGCCCTGCACGACAGGCCCTTCCTTTGCGTTTTGACACCGCGCACCTTTCGACTCAAATGGCGCGTGCGTGTTGCCTGTGCCGCACTGTGTGCGTGTGAGTGTGTGCGTGTGTCTGTGTAAGAGTGAGTGTGCGTGTGTGTAGCAGGCGGCTGTACGCGGCCCCCTGGAATAGACCTTTCTAGTGTAATCTCTCACACCGACGCGAAATGATGTCATGTGACACATCGCACACACAGGTGGAGGGCAGATCCCCACCCCCCGCCCCTCTCCGAGAGGCTCCGAGGGGCCCAATGTTGCTACCGCTGCCGCTACCAGTGGCGCCGCCACTCTCTGGCGCTGCCCGGGATTCCCGGCCCGAAATGAAGCAGGAGATGGAAGAGGATATGTCGTAAAGCTAGACTTGCACAGGCCGGGAGAGAGAGACAAGGGCAGCAACAGCAGCGGCGGCGGAGGCAGCGGCGGCAGGACAGAGAGGGGAAGCATGCTGACGTGATATGAGCGTGGAAGGTGTGGCGCTGAGATGAATGGAGGAGGGGCTGCAGGCAGGAGATAGCTGCAATCCGTGTGGCGAGGCGTTGTAGCGGAAGTGGAGTGACTCCCTGCGCACGCACACCCTCACACACACACACACACACACACACACCTAGACACACATATCACGCACACACACGCACACGCACACACACACTACGCGGTTCGCCATGTAAATCCCAAGCTACCTGTGTTTGAAAAAATTCCCGCCGGAAAGTCGCACGCGAAACCTGTTTTCCAGAGTAGTGCGCACGGCCGGACCATCTCCTCCGCGTCCTGGGTCCTGGCCAGGTCCTGGCGGGGTCAATAATATAAGGTTACCCGGCCCGCTCCGCTCCACAGGCTCTCTCTCCCCGGCGGCCGGCGTCCTAACAGGGACCGTCGTGTCCACCGCGGCCGCGGACCGAGCGCGCCACGGCGGGGCGGCGGGGCGGAGGGAGGGGAACGAAAACGAATAAAAATGGCGGCAAAACAAATCCGGAGGATGGTATCAAAACATGGCTTGCAGGGCAAAGGCGAGTGGGTCCGCCGCCGCCGTCCAGCCACGGCCATCTCACTCTGTCTCGCTCGCACTCCGAAGGAGGAAAGCTCCGCGCCCTGAGAGTGCGAGAGAGAAGAAACGGCGCATTGTTCAGCCTGTGGCC